TACGATTCATTGTTCTATACGGGAGTAAGCCCTGCTGAGCCAAGGTTTATAGATAATAATCTATTATCTATAATTTTTGCTGCTGAGCTGCACATGGCCACATGGGTCGGTAAATGACTAAATGAGTATGATTTTTGATAAGATATGCACTACCTTTAGCAAAGGAAAAGTTGAATACATGTTTGGAGAGGCCAACAATTAGAAATATTGGAGGTATACTTAAAAAGTATGAAGTTAATGATAAGGTGATAGGTATGTAGAAATCATAGTGATCATAGTAGTAAATGGGTACTTGTCCACCTGGGTTAATTATGCAAAACCTATCTGGAATGACTTATTTAATTAAGTGTGGAGGAGACATAGTTTGGAAGAGGCATATTAATCAAATTATCTTTAAATACCTGTATAATATGTATCAATTGAAGAGAAAAAAAATGTAAAATTTAGTTCAAGATTTTACAAATATGTTATTATTTGATTACGAAGTGTGGAGGACAGTAATGTATGATAGTCACTGGTAATTTCTAAGTCAGATATGTGGTTGCCGTATGTCGAATATAGCTATGTAAATGTAAAAGTTACTAATTAAAATACAAATATGGTTATTGAGTCTTTTCCATCCATTTCAATCCGATGAAGTACCAACAACATATAATACAATATAATGCAAACATTATTATAAAATAACAACAAGAGAGCATGGATGATGATTTTGATTTTTAAGTCTTACAATTTGTAACTTTACTTTGATATTAAAATAAGAAAACTGTGCCTATTGTAAATATGGAAAATACTTACATAATAATATTACTGCATTTGGAAGATATAGATACATAATCAATGGGCATATTGTCTTTTTAGTTGTTCATAAGATAATTGAGTTAATATATTATAGTAAAACCTAGTTAAATAGTGTGAATACATGATACATGACAAAACAGATATACTTTTTTACTGGCAAATGCATATTTGTAACAAATATCATGTGATATTAATATTACATACAGGTTAACAATAAATATTAATAATAATAATTTATTATTATTTATTAATAATATCAATGAATCCCAATGCACATAATAGGTACACATAAAAAACAAAACAAAAATGTACACCAAGATTTCATTTTTCATTAAATTCACTAAGTTCTATGACCTCTTCAGCTTTAATTTATGTTAGGATATTATTAAAAAAGATATATGATAAAATAAGATATAATAGGACATAATAAAATAAACAAATAATAAATCAATAATTGATTTAAGTTTTTATAATATCATATTTAGGACATAATAAATTATATTCATATTATTAATTTTAAAAAGGTTATAAAAACTAAGAAGTTGTATTAAAAGTAATAATGTGTTGGTTAGATCACAATATTAAAAGTTTAAAATTTATCTTCAGTACAGTCCACAACAACAGGGGCTTCGTCGTCATCCTCTTCATCTAACCCATTGAATTCCCAACCAAACTTTTGTAGCAAAAATCTCTTTATTTGAATCGTGCCATCTTTAAGATTATCTTCCAGTATAAAATCACAAGTTTCTAATGTCCTAAATAATTCTTTTAGACCATTATAAATAACATTATTGTTTTCAACAATGTCGACCAAAAAGCCTTCTTCAGGTATTGTTTCTAGTTGATGACGTACTGCTATAAAAAACTTTGCAAAAAAGTTTTGATCCTGAGCAATTGCATCTTTACTCATACAAAATAATTGAAACAGCTTCTTCCAGCGCTCAAAAGACTCATAACTTAAACCAAGAAGAAAACAAACATAGGAAAATTGTAGTTCAGCTAATAAATCTATTTTACTGAAAAAAATAAAAATAAAGGCATATTATTGCATTTAATTAATACTGAAGATAATAATTATAATAATAAATAACTATGTAAATATGATAATAACCTGTCATGTTTTTCAGCCATGTAATCGAGTATGTATGAAGTATCAAGTGAATATTTAGTGATTTCAGAAAGTGATGAACCAGGTGGATAATGACACTCGGGAGGTTCAGTAAATCTAAATAATATTGACACTATTAATCTACATACAAAGTACATTATAATACAAACTAACAAAGTTCACCTTATTTTATTTTCTTCTTTCGGTACTAAGTTGGGTAATTGTTCGTATCCAACATCTGTTTCACTTCTAATAGGACCCCATTTTCTTCTTTTTTTTGTGTTTTCCTTAACCATTGTAGGAAATAACTCCATTGCTGATCTGATTAATTTTGTTTCAGGGCATAACCTGTGTATTAATTTTTCTAAAATGAAAAAATAATAACTGATAACTAGAGGTATATTATTACATAGATTTATAATTATACATACTAGTGAGTAGTGAAGACAAACCATTCCACTTTGATAGTTCTTCATATGGATATGGTCCCAAACAGTCATCAAAATATAAGGTATTTGTTTTGTATTGCACTATTTCTAACCTGGGTACATCTACCAAAATTTCATTGTTTGTATCCCACTTTTTTACAAGACATTCACCTTTTTTAAAATCATGGAAAAATCCACAACGTGGAGCTGTATTACCATACTTATCAGTGGCACTGTAAATATTATATTGTTGTTAATCATGAACTTCTTATTACAAACGTGTTTAAACATTTTAAATAGTAACTTGAAGTCACTTATAATACATTTTATTCATATTACCTGTAGTACACAAAATGTATACCAGGAGGTATCATTTTGATTCCTTTGAATTTATCACCAGTCGCCCAGGACATCATATCGATGCCAAATTCCATGCCCGACGGTATGTCGAGGAAAAACGCTGTCGCACCGTTCAGATACAGTTTCATGGCACTTTCTTGATCCATGATCGATATATCATTAAATTCAATATTATATAAGGGACGCTAGTACAAACAATTAAAAATGAGGTACATTTGTAAATTATTTTCATTAAAACTACCCACATGTGTTGTAAGACGTATTTAGTTGTATATAATTTGTCATGATTTTATATATTTAAATTTTACAGATTTAAAAATCTAGACATGGTGGACACGACGTGATAACCGTGTCTAATCGTGATAATACTATCAACAAAAACATGGCAGACAAGGTAAGCAACTGTTTGTTTTGATTGGATCACGATGTCGGCCGATGTAGTGTCACGGACATAATATAGATGGCGATATATCTATATGGCCGTAGTTGATGTACTGAAAGTAGATACTATATAGCAGGCTGGTCTCACTCGCATACAATAATAAGGACCGTGAAGTAATGTGTACCAAACACGGGTCGCGCTACATATGACCCATACTGCGCATGCGCATATAACTATCGTTCCTCGAAACTATATTTTGATTTTCGACGTTTGTAATATTTTATATTTTTATATTGTAAACAGTTGTATATTATACTAACCTAATAATCTATGAACAAGTCACTAACCACGTGAACTACAGAACTGTTTCAGATTTAACATTTTGTGCGTGTCCTGTGTATTTATTTTATTATATTTTTACTTTGATAGTTTAATTCATTCATTCTTACACAATGGTATTATACCAATGCTGTATAAAGGGATGTAAAGCTAAAGGTTAGTATTGTTATGTAATTGTATTCTATTAAGTTTACTCAGGTACCTACTATAATTTAATTTAGGTATTTAAAACAACTTCCTTTCATAACTTAATAATTATAAATTGTTGGCTTAAATAGGCCGAACTCCATATTACCTATATAACCACCTTTTGTTATATTAGATGTTATATCTCATCGGTTTCCGAACATAAGACTTTATCCTATCCGAATGAGGGAATGGATGAAAATTGCTGGGTTAGAGCATCAAGATTCTCAAATTGTGTACAACAAGAAAAGAATTTGTGGTGCACATTTCACAAGTGATTGTTTAAGTCCTGGGACCAAAAGATTGAAATGTAATTCATATCCTACGCTACATATTCCTGCAGGTAAAATATTAAAATTAATTCAAACGTATAAAACTTTGGAAAACTGACTTATATTAGGTAAATACTTATTGCAATCATGTGAAATGCAATTTTATTTTAGCAGGTGATTCATCTTCTTCTAAAGAATCACTACACGATAATACCGAAAATGACTTTCAAGAAGTGAACATGCCTGGTACCTCATCAACCAATCTTGACTTATCTGGGTCTGATGTATTATATATCCCATCTCTGTTACCACGTATGTATATAATAGTTTCAATTTTTTTAAATATACACATTACGTTGCTAATAATACATAACACATCACTTATATTGCTCAATGACATATTATAGCATTTAGTTATGATTTTGCATTTGCTTATTTTGTAATTTTGATGTTAAAAATAATTAAAACTATTACACTATAAGTAAAACTATAAATTTGCCTATATTTAACATCATGTCGACATGATTATCAAATATGTTTTGCTTTGCTATGTAGATGACGATAACGGCTTGCTTTGTAATGTCACTAGAATAACAGCACAAGTTAAAAATCGAAAAATAAAGAAAAAAGATACTGGTTAATAGAATTATTTAAGCTTTCATATATTATAATTATTATGATACATTAATAAATTAATATTTTTTTAATGTTGATATATAGGTTTATTAAAACAGATAGGTGTTACAAAATGTAGTCATCTAACACCAAAGTGTAAAAAGTTATATACTATTGCCAATCAATTGAAGAAAAATTGTAGGCGAAATGGAAGTAGACAACAACTTTTTAAAAGCAGGTTACAAGCAGCAGAAACTTTCTCAGATAAATTCCTTTCAAAAATGACACCTGCGGCATCCATGTTTACTAGACTACAAGTACGAGAAACGCAGAAAAAAAATCATGGTCGTCGATTTACTGAAGACGAAAAAATTTTGAGTTTATCGTTATTTAAAAGGAGCCCTAAGTGTTACAGAATACTGTCAAAGCTGTTCACCCTACCCAGCAAAAGAACACTTAATTTAATTCTTTCAAGTGTTTCAGTCCGTCCTGGAATCAGTCCTTTGGTCATGAGTGTTTTGAAAGAAAATGTCAAAAAACTTAAGCCAATTGATAGGTGAGTTGAGATGTTTTTGTTAATAATATTACTATAATATTACATAGTCTAATACAATACAATTAATTTTTTTACATTTATTCATTTAGGTATTGTTCAATCCTTTTTGATGAAATAAGTCTAAGTAGCGGTATTCAGTATACACCGGCAACAGATGTGATTGATGGATTTGTTGACTCTGGTGCCTATAAAAATCAAAGCTTGGCTGACCATGCGCTTGTTTTTATGGTTAGAGGGATTAGAAAGAAGTTTAAGCAACCGGTATGTTATACGTTTTGCCAAGCAGCCACCAAACAAAATGAGCTAGTGCGACTGTTGAAAGAGGTAAATTGAACATCAAACAATTAGTTGTATAATATGCTAATGTTGATAATCTATTTCTAATAGGTTATTCGTGAAGTACACAAAACTGGATTAATTATTGTTGCGACTATTTCTGATCAAGGACGAGCAAACGAAGGAGCAATAAAAATATTAAATGCAGAAACTAGAGAATATTGTATAAGACAAAGTAAACTGTATAAAGATGATTTTTATGAGGTTGAAGTTGATGACACAAGGTTACAAATTGTTCATTTATTTGATGTTCCACATCTTATAAAATGTACAAGGAACAATTTGTTAACTAAAGACCTTAAGTTTACAATTGATGGTGTACAAAAAACAGCCAAGTGGGAGCACATTGTACAGTTGTACAATGCTGACAGTGCTATTCCTGATTCAAAAATGCTTCCTCGTTTATCAGATAAACATGTTATTCCGGAAAAAATATCTAAAATGAAGGTGAAATGTGCCACACAGATATTCAGCCATCGTGTGTCAGCTGTTATGAATTTTCTTGCTAGTGAGTATTATTTATTACAATTAAATAATAATAAAATTATTGTGTACATTTATGGTATTTTTGTTTACAGCTCAAAATATTATTGATTCTGATGCTGTTGATACTGCAACATTTCTATTATTTTTTGATAAGTTATTTGATTCAATGAACGGTTCTTTTGATAAAATAGTTGACGGCAAAATTTATAGAACTGCAGTAAAGAAAAATTCTGTTCACCATCAATTATGGGAAGAAAGTCTAAAAATTCTGTCATCAATGAAGTTTGTGGGAAAAAATATGAAAACTGTTAGTGTTCCAACATTAAGAAACTGGATGACCACTATTAGAGGTAATTAATATAGTACAGTTAGTCAGCAACCTACTAATAATAATTTTTTAAAGGTTTTCAATATCTGTCAAAAGTGCTAGATGCAAAAGGTTTGAAGTCATTGTTGCCCCGAAATTTGAATCAAGATCCGCTGGAAAATTTTTTTGGAGCAGTCAGAAGTCTTGGTTGTACTAATCCCACTTGTGCATCATTCATTCAATCCTATAAAACGTTGATGCTCAACAATTTGGTATCACCTCATTCACCTGGTGCTAACTGTGAGGAAGATCTTACTGAGGGTACTTTGACAAATTATAAAAATTTATTTTGTTCTCAACAAGACATACATTATACTCAACAAAATTTAACGGCTGATTTACCCAGACCTTCTCTACCAATTCTCAGTGATAATACTGAATATTTAAGGCAATTGTCACATACCTATATATCGGGTTTCATAATAAAAAAATTAAATCGCGATGTCTTAAAAGATTGTAAAAAATGTCTAAAAATAATATGTACTGATCAACTATCAACAGAACATCAGCTTATATCAGTTAGAGAATATCGGCCTACTAAACTTAGTTTAAAATATCCTTCTACTTCATTTCGGTCCTTAATTAATAATATTATTACTTACATAAATAATGTATTACCTTCAATATGTCACCATCAACAAATTAAATTAACACTAGTAAATAATCTTTCATCAAATTTTGATTTAAGCAATTTATGCTGTTCTGACCATACTAATATTTTTAAAGAAAAAATTTTAAATTATATTGCTAAAATGTTTATCAACCATTGGTGTGTTGAAGTTAATAGAATTTTATGTGGTAAACGTCAAATAAGAGTAGGTGAAAAAGATCCCATTAAAATTCTAGCTAATGTATGGTATAATAGTCATTCAAAAAAAAAAAAATTACGGGTAAATACAATCAGGTATAAATTGTAATACTAAAAAAAATAATTGTAAATATGTATATAAATTGTATATATGTGTAAATACAAAAATGATTAGAAACTCCAACAGTGGTAAATTGGGTTAAACTATATTTTGTATATTATTATTATTTCTTAAATAATATTGAAAATATGTGATTAACTATTTTATTTAATATTTTTACATTTAATTATGCTTGAATTATTATATTTATAATTTATTATATTATTCTGTGTACTTGATGATTTGTTATTAATTCATTAATATGTTTAAATTATATTATTCATTAATTACTTATATTGTGTGAATACTTATTTACAATTTTTATATTTTACAATAAATGTTAAAATTGATTTGAATAGTTGTTTTTAATTATTTATCTTGCTCAATAGCCTATACCTCTGTAGCATCAATTTAAATTACATATTATTTAAAAATAATGAGGTACCTTGAAATAAATAGTATGAGAACCCCTGGATATGGGGTAATTACATATACCAACCACCGGGAGCGCCGTAGCCAATGTCACTTTTTTTAACGTGGAAGTTGCCTATCTATTATATATACTTATCTATGCTATATAGTTAATCCACATTCTACTTCGTGGATGGTGGATCTGGTGATTGTGATCCTGTAATATTATAATCACGAGATGTTTTTTTAATTTATTCATTTTTATTTTTTATCTACATGCTACAGCTACAAGTCTTCAACCGTCTACTGAGCTACATCAAGTTGATCTGTTGATCTTTGATGTCATCACTCATCAACCATACTATACACATAGTACATTGCCCAAATAAATTAATAAATACAAATTATTTAAAATAATATGATATTATAGTTAATAGGTAATTAATTATAATTATTACAAATTAATAATTTTGTTGGCATAATATTAAATTAGTAAATACTCATTCTGCTTGCTGACTTAAAAGTTTCACTTACAGTAGGTAATTATTTTTTTCAAAGAAATAATTATTCATTATTTGAAACTTATTATTTTTATTCGTTAAAAAATTCTATGTTTGTGTTTAACTAATGTTAAAAGAAGGTAAGCCATTATATGTTATATAAAATGCATGATTAACTTAAGTCAATTTATTTGACCATGTTTATGCTTTTTTTCACGTTCATGTGTACTAATACCAATGTATAATATAATATATAATATTATATACTTATTACATTAATATTAAAAGCTGTTGATACAACAGTACTTATACCAAATAGCAGCATTTTGATCACAATATAAATCATACCTTTTAATTTAGTTAGCTAATCTAATTATTTTTCTTTGTACCTATTATTTTATTTATGGTCTTAAGAAAGAATAAAATAATAGTAATATCAATCTGATAGTATTTACAATTTAGTATTTAATACAACAACAATAATAATAGAATACCTATATTAGAAAATAATTTTGAAATAATTAGATGTAATCTCTTACATACTCTAGATAATCAATGGAATATTCTTTAATATTTTAATAAGATTTTTGTGTTTAAGACAAATAAAATGATATCAAGAAATTATATATCTAATTAAATTAATACTTGATATATTATTATGTGTAGGAAAATTGTAATGGCTCAAATGTTTTAATAGTATAAAGGGTATGGAGAAGAAAATATTACGTTTATGTCATGTGTGCTGATTTTCTTAACTAAATCCTGACTCAATATTATAACTATTCAAAATGATATGTAATAATACAAGTTTATATTTTTTTTCAGAGGTATCTCAATATTTTAGTAATATTATGGAAAAAGAGTCAGATATAAGTGCTAGTATAGCAGCAATCACTACGTTAATGAATTTATTGGAACATGATAAATGTAAGTACACTTAAAAAATAAATAGATTTATGTACAGGTTCCACAATTCCACATCATGAACATTTTAGACAATTTAAATTACATTACTATTTAAAGTTACAGGTTACAACACCATCAGTTGAATAAAACTAATTTATAAATTTGGCAAAATAATATGAAAGCTTTCATGTTTTTACAATGAAATACTTATTGATAATTATTTTTGTATTTATTGTGACAACTATATTGTTACACATTTAATAATAATTTTACTACTTAAATGTAGTCGATTATTAATTTTTTAAATTGTGAGTGGAGCAAGGAAGCTAGTGGTTTTATAATATTAATAGTATTTATTTTTTTTTATTTTTTTTTTTATCTTATATACAACATTTCTACCAGAAGGCACTCTTTGATTTCAACGTATATATTCGTATCTTTTAGTAAATTAGAACAATATGGTACTTTAGAGAAGTAATTTTCAATTTTCTCAATAGTTATTTAATGCGGGAAAAACTACCGACAGATTACGAAAAACCGCTAAACATGGGATTTTAATTTCTAACACTTTATTTATCACCTAGCAATGAATAAAAAATTATCTTTATATATTATATAGCTAATCCCGTGCACTTTGTTGCCCATAAAAACTAAAAAGTGATTGTTCAACTCCTTTTGGGTGCAATTCACCCTCACTGGTATGCAATCCGACTACCTCAATGTACGGACAATGTGCAAAAATTCGATTTGATGTATGCTTGCACTTGGTCTGCCCGATTAACCAATGGCAACCAATAATTATCATTATAATAGCTTTAAAACCCATAGCAACCATTTATAAACAAATTTCTTAAACTTAATTTCCACCGTAAATCTCTAAATCCCCGTTTCAACCACGCTTTAGAAGTTGAATTTTATAAATTTTCTTTCATATAAACCTATTCGCAAATCTACCAAATGTATATACAAAATTTCATTGAAATTGGTCAAGCCGTTTATAATAAAAAATAACCACATAGATTGTTTATATCTCTCTATTATTGTGCACTTAAGAGGCCATAATTCAAAGGTTATAATAAATCATAACAATATAAATAGTCCAGACTGACAAACCGTCTCTGCTAAGAATCATTTTTCTTATACACTGATATTATCAGTGTTGGGCAAGTTAATGAAAATAATAAACTGTGGAAAGTTAAGTTAATTCAATCAAATTGTCTTCAGTTAAGTTAAAAGTTAACAGAGAAAAAAAATTTAACTAGATAAGTTTAAAGTTAAGTTAGAAAATAAAATTAACTTATCTCAGTTAATGAAACGTTAATTTTTTTGAAGGTACAATATTTTTAAATCATAAACCACCATAGTATTTTGTTATACACAAACATTAACCAAGATATTTAACACTGTGTAAAAAATTAGATTATTATAATATATAATTCGAAAATAAATTACCAAAATCGTAAAAAAGTCGACAAATCAGTATTGCTAAGTTGATTATGCATGACTCAAAAATAAAATTACCTTAACTGAATGACAATGATAATTCACTATTAAAAGTTAAGTTACACCAATAAAAATGTTAACTGAATAAGTTAATAAGTTAAAAACAAAAATAACTAACTAGTTAAGTTAAAAAGTTAAAAAAAAATTAACGTAACTTTAACTTTTTAACAAGTTAATGCCCACCTTTGGATATTATATCATTGAATTCAAGTTTAATACAATCTATTATACGTTAACCCACTTGTAACCTACTGTACAACAGAGCGACATCCACTTACGCCTCTTTTTTATTTCATAATGTTTAGCTGAAACTGTACAAGAACTCGATTTGAATTTGCAATCTGCAGTAGATGTAATTACCAATAGTAGTTTCCGTATTACTGGTGTATCTTCTGGATGTGCATTATTTATGCGGTTTATAACATTTGCCAAATTGGATAATATTGTAAGTATTTTTAAATGTATAGTGTTACTAATATTTTACTTAAATAAGTTTCATTTTGAATATTTAGACAGTGAACCTATATTTATGGACTTCTCACAATAGCAGACTACTTATTAATGGATATTTTATCGGGTCCCAGCAAAAATATACTTTTTAGATAGGCCTTAAGTGTTCCTAACTTACTGGACCCTTCGATACAACTGTAATATATTTTTAATTTTAAATAGTCAACAAGTGTAAAGATAAATATAATTTTACATTTATCAATAATGAAAATAATTAATTAATATACTTACCACAAATATTAATATTATTCATCCGTGTTATGGCTTTACATAGACTACATTGAAAAAATAATGAGTTTAAAAAGAGAAATTATTGATAGTTTGTACATTTGAGAAGTGTAATATACGAGTACACCATTATGTCCAGCGGAAAGCGAAAAAGACTAACTTTGGCACAAAAAATTGAAATTATAAAATTTGTGGAAGCAGAAAATATTGGAATACGAGCAGTAGCTGAAAAATTTAATATTGGAAAAACACAGGTTAGTGATATATTAAAAAATAAAGCTTATTTATCACAATCATTTGTGGAGCAAGGAAACGAAGAATCTAAACGCAATTTTCCAAAATCGGGCGGTGAAATAATCGACACAGTGATATTTCAATGGTACCTACATGCTCGTGTCAACAGTTTTCCAATTTCGGGTCCAGTACTGAAAGAAAAAGCATTGGAATTGGCATCAGAAGTTGGCCTGAATGATTTTAAAGCATCTAATGGATGGTTGCAAAAATTTAAAGACAGGCATCGCATTTCTTATAGAAATATTTATACAGATCCTACATTACTAAAAGAGTGTGATATTACAGAATGGCTAAATAGTGTAAGAGAAACTATTAAAGGTTATAAAGAATGTGATATATTTAACTGTGATGAAACCGGTCTATTTTATCGAATTCTTCCTGAAAATACAATGAGCTTTATAAACGAGACCTGTATTGATGGAAATTTATCAAAGGAGAGACTGACCATTATGTTATGTACTAACATGGATGGAGAATTTGAAAAACCATTGATCATAGGAAAAGTTGGAAAATATAATTGTTTTAAAAACATTAATATAAACAGCCTTGAAATTGTTTGGAAATCCAACACTAAAGCATGGATGACACGTAACATTATGACTGAGTGGCTTTTAGATTTTGATTACAGAATGACTCAATCAAAAAGAAATATAGTTCTTTTTTTAGATAATGCAAGTTCTCATCATTCGCTTAACAATCTGCAATCGATTAAGCTAATATTTTTTCCGCCATATTTATCATCTTGTCAGCCTTTGGATCAAGGAATTTTTCAAAATTTTAAAATTCTATATCGACAATGTGTATTAAAACATCATCTATCAATAATAGACAATGGTTCTGGATTAATAAATAAAATCAATGTGCTTCACGCAATTCTTTGGATAAAGTATGCTATTAATGAAGTTAAAAGATCAACAGTTAGAAATAGTTTCATTAAATCTGGTATCTTGATCTCAGGTGAAAATGAAACAGAAGACAATATTGCAACTAATGATTATAAATCATTGTTGATCCGCTTGATTGGCGATGATTCAATTAATTATGCAGAGTTAGATAACAAACTATTGACCGAAAATCAATCATTAGATTTAATCAAAATAATGCAAGAACTCATTGACCCACAAATAAGTGATGAAGATGATACTGAAGATGATACCTCATATCTTCTAAATGAAGATGTAGTCTTGACAAATTTAGGTCAAATTTCTAATTCCACTGAAAAGAAAAAGATTGAACATCAAAATATTGGTTAAAAATCATTGTTTTCTATTTGTCTTTATCTTTAATGTCTATTAGTAGATTTTTATGTGTTTAAAAGTTATTATTATACATTTTAGTCTTAAGTAACATAATATACAATATAAAATCTAATTACACTTTTATGTAAATTAACAAATGTTATAAAATATGTTACTATGTTAATGTGATACTTTAAAGTTCGCTCTGCCTCTTTGCTTGTAAAATATTAATCATACACAACGTTATACAAGAGTAATAGAGCTATTACGATTAATAATAAATTTAAACATACTAGTTGTTCCAGAAAAAAACTTAATTTAATAATAATGTACATTGTTAATGATACTTTTTTTAAATTGTTTATTCATATTATATTGTTATACAATTATTCGGTGTATAAAAATAATGATACTAATTCAATTAGATATAATTTTTATTAAAATATTTTTTACACTTATTTTAGTAAATTATGATCAAGAATCTATCTTATTGTTATTTTTTTTTGACAGTATCAAGAGCAAGAAATTTAAACTTAAACAAAAAAGTACTTCAGTTAATATGTATACTTTTATGTACTTAATTTTAGACTTTTGCGGAGTGTAAAAAAGTTATGTTGGATCGAGGAAAAGTATTTTTGAAGAAACTTACCGATGCAAGAAATAAGGTTGCCAAAATTACTCTTCCTTTCTTTGTTGATGGCACTGTAAGTATTAAAATACATGCCTACTTACATATATAATATAATGAAGTGGCATATTTAGATCTTTTTATAAGAAAAATATAACAGTGATATCATGTTACATAGGTAATATAATAATATTAAAATAATATTATTATAATACATATTGTGTATAAAATATATTCTCCTCAAGTATAATATACATTCATATAACCATAGCTGTAAATATGACATTAATGTAATGAAATTACCAATATATTTTAATAATAACAAGTAAATTGAATTGATTGATCATGTGAGAGTCCTTAATGGATTGCCTCTCTCAACAAAGTATTTTTACTCATCTATATATGATTATTTTTGTTTTATTATTAATTTATTTTTTAATCCCTATTAATGTTTTTTCATTTCTCTTATCATATTATGTACTTAATACTAGGCCGAAATCTGGATAGATTGTATCATTGATTAAATATCAATATATATTATATATTTATATTATATGTATATTTAATCAATGATTGTATATACATATCTATTAAAAAACAAAAATATTTAATTTATTTATGTATCCCATTTACAACACTTATGCCCTTAAATATAGATTATATTATATTCCTTGTATATGTATTGTTTTTAGAATATCTTGACACATTCAAAATCTAGAGTGGTATTAGAAGCCATGAAATTAGCTGTGAATTCACAAAAAAGATTTCATGTTTTTGTATCGGAGTCATCTCCTGATAAAAGCGGGTAATTTGGTGGCGTATAATATTCATATTTAATAATATAATTTATAAAAAATTTTTTAATACATTCGTTTGTTTGTTAGAATTGAAATGTACAATTGTTTGAAGGCACTTGCTATTCCTTGCACATTGATATTAGATTCTGCTGTTGGTTACATCATGGAAAGAGTTGATATGGTTATGGTCGGAGCTGAATGTGTTGTAGAGAGTGGCGGAATAATTAACAAGGTAATAAATTAATATACACACTATTATCATATTAATAAATAACAATATTACAAATTTAACGTTAATCTAGCTACTATAATATCGATACTAGTTAGATTTTATTTATTATTTCAGTATACTGTAACGTATCGGTATTTAGGTATACCGAAACATTTCGGTTTTTCAGTATACCGTTTCAAACTGTTATTGAAATCAATACCGTAATACCGAAAATTATTTTCAATACCGTCAGCCCTAATTTATAGGGTGCTATACCCGCATACATTCTCTCTGTCTTTCAAACGCATAACATACATAATTGTATGCTCAGCAGACCACATTTAGCTCTATTAGTTTAAAAATTAAAGTAAATTGACCTCTTATACAATTTAGAAGTAAGAATATTATCTAGTGAACCTGATAGGGTTTTTTTTATATTTTAATTTTGAAGAAGGTTATGAAAATTTTAAAATGCACAAATAATTTACAATTTTAAAATACTTATAACTTACTTTAAAATTAAAATATTAAAAAAAAACCCTACGAGGTTCACTAGATAATATTCTTACTTCTATATTGTATAAGAGGTCAGTTCACTTTAATTTTTAAACTAACAAATCTAAATGTGATGTGCTGAGCATTCAATTTGCTATGGTTGAAAGACAGAGAAAACGCATTCAGGTGTAGCGCCCTCTTAAGACCTTACATAAAGATTGGCGTTAATAAGTAAAAATGTAAAACTCTGTTCCAATAATCAAAAACTATTAACCTAACTAATTTTATATACAATTTTTTTTATTTTTAAGAGGACTCCACACCCACGTGTGTTGTCTTCGTCTTACAAGTGCGTAACAATGCAAATTTAATCTCAGCAGATCACGTTAAATTCCATTAGCCTAAAAATTAGTGCTAATTACCCTATTATGAAACTTGATGGTAAGAACATTATCTGTGTTCGTATGTTGGTTTTTACACTACTTCAATTTCTTAGCAAGTTATACGTATATAATATAGAGTAAGTTAATAATGATCATAGTTTGCTTAAAAACTGAATAATAAAAAAAAAACCAACATTCGGTGACAACTCATGGAGGTGTGAAGTCCTCTTAAGTGCTTAATAGTGCAAACATTATTACACAATTAGTACTTTAAAATAATAGAAGTTGGACTACAGAGTCCTTTACAGAATTTGTACTAGTTATATGCATACAGGTGTACCACTTTTTTTTATGACTGAGGAATTTTATGATTTTTTGCTATGTTATCCCTCTTAACATATGTGTAACATGATGAATTTATATGGAGGAGCTATAGCCTATAATGTTTGGGTACATACATAATATTATATTCTAAAAATTTAACAAAAAAAAAAAAGGTCCATGGGAGATATACCCTCTTACTCACACCATGCCTATGTCTCTGAAATTCAGTCTTAATGATAATGATTATAGGTGTAAGTAACTAGTTAAGTGTCCTCCAGTATAGATATATATATATATTGAAACAATCCTTTTTTAATAGAAAGTAATTTTAGTCTTATGTTAATTCTTTTATATTTTATTGTCTAGATTGGAAGTTGTACTATGGCTATTTGTGCTAAAGAATTCAAAAAACCATTTTACGTGTTAACAGAAAGTTACAAGTTTTCGCGAATGTATCCTCTAAATCAGAAAGATTTACCTAATAATTTCAAAGTAAGTATATTTTTCATAACCTTATGTGGTGTCATATAGAGATTAAATGTTATCATAATTTTGGTTAGATTATTATTATACATATTTATATTTTTATCAAATTTATTATAATAATAACATAACAAATAGCATTGACATAAAAATTCTCCTATAATGTAATAAAAACTGATTTACAAACAAATATTTTTAAGTTTATACTAGCTTAGAATGTCAAAACAATTTTAATATAATTTTAACATTTAAGAGATGTTAAATTATATTTTTAATTTATTCTATAAGAAGATAGCATATACAATATTATTATTATAATGAATCTTATTTGTTTCTGAATCCAGGTGCACCAAAACTTCAAAACTGTTTAACTTAACACAGTTTTGGTATCAACAATGATATTATGAATATTATTTGATTCTTTTCATTTAATTTCATAATGTTATAATTTAATACATTTAATTCGATAATAATTATCATTTAATACATTTAAAAAATATAAACAATTTGTGACCATGAAATATGATTCAATTTAGCATATTATATCTTGGAGATTTGCTATAGTAACTTACTGCTCTTTGGTATAAAATTGTTACCTTTAGTTGAATTCTTTAAAACTGTATTACTGTTAAATATTAATTTCCTATGTTCAATGATCTATTATTATCTCTAGTACTATTTTATTTTATTTTTTTCAATTTAGTACAATGGGAACAATTCGAATGATGATAATTTATTACATGCTCACCCTTCAGTGGATTATACACACCCATCTTACATCAGCTTGCTTTTTACTGACCTCGGAATATTGATGCCATCAGCTGTAAGTGACGAATTAATAAAACTGTACTTGTAAATGTTTATTACATCTAGTATGTTCATAAAATTATGATAATGAAATGTAATGTTATGCTACATAAAAAGTAAAATAAATTTAAATCATAATATTGATTGTGTTCAAAACTACATTTTTTCGTATGAAATATACCACTCATATTATATTATATTTTTCATTTGGAAAACATCAAGACGTCTGCATCATGTAATTACTGTTGATATGGAAATAGGGGCCACCGACATCTAATTTACCTTTCAAACTGTAATGTAACTATTCTAAACTATTTATTCCAACCATATTTCTAGTTTATTTTTAATTAATTATTAGATAATATCATTGAGTTTTCGTTACTTTATATTAAACAATATATTATTATGAAATACTAGAAAATCAACACACGGCCATGGTGTACTGGTGTGTGTGTATCTGATTTGCCTATCTAAATCGCTGTGTGATCATAATTATTTTGTAAATTCGGAACACCAATGTAAAAATATAGTAATGGAGACCAAAAAGCAAGACAACTGTGCAGGGGCGGAGTGGCCGGTCTGGAAATGGGAATTTTCCAGATGGCCTGGACCATACTATGGCCCGGTGGCCTGACCATTTTGTTAGATTTTTTTTTAAATTTAATTTAATTTACAAAATATTAGTTAATGCTAAATGCGTCGTAAATTTGTTTCTATTAAATTATTGTATTACAAATATTATTAATGCAATAACAGTACATTGTGATAGCCTCGTACAATTATATACTCTTATGAGAACGCTTTGGATATAATTATATAAAATTACAAAATATTTGGTACATAAATATAGACATCAAATAAAATCAAAGCAATATAATATTGATATC